GTCAATTTGTTTGATAGCTATTTTATTATTGAATTATTGTGTATCTACTACCTCTGTATCTGGGAGGGTGGTATATAAGGTATGCTACAGCACTTAGGCCACAATTATGCCCATTGTGCGCCTCCACACTCCACAAGAGGAGAGGTCATCATTAGCTCGTCACCCAGCCTAGCGATTCTACGTAGGCGATGACGTCGCTGAAGGCGGTGCCTCAGATCTCTTCTAGTGATTGGTACGATTGGCCTAATCTGGCTCTGAGTATTGGCGAAAGAGCAGTGCAGTCACAGAGAATGTGCTCTATCGTCTTGCCTTCTTGATTACAAGGTGTATCGACTATAATATGGAAATTTTGATGAATGTGCTGGCAATTCATTATTTGGAAAACGCAGAGATACGAAATCGACGCAACCATCGACATAACCGCCGTGATCCATTCGTAGAGCTAAATCAAAGGGCCTATTTCTCAATAGCGAGTCACCTCCAGGTTGGTTTTAACTCCAGGTTAAACGTGTCCAGTTGCAATGTTTACCCTGGAGTTATGCTTAACCCGGGGATGACTTGCTATTGAGAAACCGGCCCAAAGACAGTTTATTAAAGGGTGTTGCTTGTTCTACCTGCTCGAAAAATTAGGAAGATCTGCTAGGAGCTGCTATTTATGAGCTTATATGAGACAGGTGAACGCTGATCTGCTGCTGAGATCTGCTTGAAGCAGGAAAAGCAGTAAAAATTACAAACAAACACCCTATTAATATGTTCTGATTGTCGAAAGAGCTTGTTAGTTATTTGGTTGAATGTTTAGAACTTCATACATGTCTGGCACAACGACCAACAGATTTAGATGTCTTGACTAAAGTAGGAAATGAATTTTATTTAGAAGGTTGTTTTGCAATGTTTGTTATACAGTTAGTTTAATGCGGTACTACTCACGGGTCTCAATTACGCGTTGAAATTTTTCGCAAGCCGTAGCTATCAACCGGATTAGCTCTAGCTTGCTTTTCACATACTTCACAAGTTTCTTTTGCTTTTCACTGGCATTCGCACCCCTTTTCTTTTAGTTTTTGTCACTGGCTTTCTTCCATAATTTACCACTATCGTAAACATCTACAATTCGTCAAATATTCATGCCCGTATGCACCGTTTCATCGCTAGGAAAGGCTTAGCAAAGTTATTCTTAAAGTTGAGAAATAATTTTGTATGCACCGTCAACAAATTTTGTTTTCTTACCTAAGAACCTGATAGAATTTGCAACATTGCAATTTCTTGATGACTTTTGTTTTTTTGTCAGTTTTTACAGGTTTTTATACAGTTTGACTTTGACAGTTTTGGTTAGTTCGTTGGTTGACAATTTAAAAATTGTTTACTTTTCGCGTAGATATAAAAGAAACATATTCGTTTCTCTATACTTTCCGGTGATTTTGTAGTGTATTGGTTATTTGGTGTCGGTGTCTATAGAACTATGAAATATTCTAGGCCGCTCTTTGCTTTGTGTTTCTCGAGGTCTTGAAGGCAAGACTTGTTTCAAATATGAATGATAGAATAAAGCATGAATTAAATTTTTCACAAAACGAAAAACAACTGTTTATTTACATGATAAGCAAATATGCTAATATAATTGAAAATAAGAAGACAATACTTGCAAAACGGTGAGTTTTCTCAACCTGAATCGCCGAAAAAAAGACGAATCATCCATTGACTGGAAATAATTTTCTCCAAAAAAATTAAAACTAAAAATTCTTGGGACCCATAATCGAAAATATCCAAAATATCAAAATCGTCTTCAACTAGCATGTAGAACTCCATTTTTTTGTATGGCAAAGGATGGAAAATCTTGTTTAATATAGTTGTTATGTTACAACAAACCCTACCGGTCCTAACCTAACCCCACAATCGCAATAAAGACAGATTTTTGTTTCTTAAGTGGAGGATTTCGATGACTTAACTTTAAGAAGAACTTGAGCAAATTCAACTGGCGTTGCATACGAAATTCAAAACTTAAGTTGAAAGGGAAACTAAGAACAGAATAAAGTGAACGGTGCATACGGGCATAAAAAGGCAAAAACACGTCAAAAATTTGTCAAACATTGTAAAATTTCCGACGTTGCCAAATCAATTATACGTATGTTTACGAATTCGCAATATCTACGTTTATCCATTTACGCACACCGGTCAAAAATGGGTTTATAGATACGTATACGTTTATTTTTGTTCGCAAATCTTCGAATACGCAATTTAACGTATATTGTCAAAAATTGGCACCCGCTCACATTCCTTTCGAGTATCAGATTAAAATCGACGGATTTTATTTATGATGCTTTATTCAAATCGCGTCTAATATTATATGGGTACAGTTTGGGCCGCCTCAACAGGGACATTATTGCAAAAATTACAAAGACTTCAAAACCGGGCAATCAAGTATATATGTATAAATTGCCGCGACTATTCCCAAAAAATTACATCTACAGAAACTACAATTATCTTCAAGTTGGCCAACTCATTAAAATTGAAGAAGCATAATATTAAATCAATCAGGACCTGTAAATGTTTATGACCATAACACTAGATCACTTAGGAAGAAATACTGTCATAATTCGAGCCTTCAGATCATATAATGAACTACCGTCAGACATTTGGGAGTTTGTTTAGCCAGCCTTGTTTGCAAAAAAATTGAAAATTAATTTCTTTAATCCAAGTAATTCCATGAATTAGTATAAGTTTTCTTCTTGAAAAACCTGTACTTACATCATATTCATTCTTTGATGGTCACAACAGTAGAAGAATTTTTAAATTTAGTTGAGGTCGGGGGAGAAATATTGATTTTTTGAAAGTCGATAACTCTCCACAAAGGTGTACAAAATTTGAAAATTAGTGTGCAAAATTGTGCAAAATTAGGAGACTCTAATAGTGAAAGAACTTTTAAGTTTGGTTAAGGTCGGGGGGGAAATATTGATTTTTTGATGGTCGATAACTCTCTGCACAAAGGTGTGCAAAATTTGAAAATTAGTGTGCAAAATTGTGCAAAATTGGGAGAATCTAACAGTAAAATAATTATCGCATTCAGTTGAAGTTGGGGGGGGAAATATTGATTCTTTGATGGTCGATAAGTCTCTCCACAGAGGTGTGCAAAATCTGAAAATAAGTGTGCAAAATTGTGCAAAATTAGGAGAATCTATAACAGTGATAAATTTTTCAAATTTGGTTGAGGTTGGGGGGGGGGGGGGGAAATATTCATTTTTTGAAGGTCGATAACTCTCTCCACAAAGGTGTGCAAAATTTGAAAATTAGTGTGCAAAGTTGTTCAAAATTAGGAGAATCTAACAGTGAAAGAATTTTTAAGTTAAGGTGAGGTCGGGGGGGAAAAATTGATCTTTTGATGGTCGATAACTTTTCTCCACAAGGGTGTGCAAAATTTGGAGATTAGTGTGCAAAATTGTGCAAAATTAGGAGAAACTAACAGTGAAAGAATTTTTGAGTTTGGTTGAGGTCGGGGGGGAAAAATTGATTTTTTGATGGTCAATAATTTTCTCCACAAGGGTGTGCAAAATTAGGAGAATCTAACAGTGAAAGAATTTTTAAGTTTGGTTGAGGTCGGGGGGGAAATATCGATTCTTTGATGGTCGACAACTGTCTCCACAGAGGTGTGCAAAATTTGAAAATTAGTGTGCAAAATTGTGCAAAATTAGGAGAATCTAATAGTGAAAGAATTTTTAAGTTTGGTTGAGGTCGGGGGGGAACCGTCAAGTTTGCCCCCCTTCTAAAAATCGGCTGTAGTCTCTCGGCGGAGGGTGTGCAAAATTTGGCTTGGGGTGTGCAAAATTGTGCAAAATTTGTGCAAAATTATGACATAGTTTATTTTAAGATCAGGGCGGCACGGGGGGCAAACTTGACTGACCCAATCTTTAGAGCACAATAAATTTATTGAGAATGAATTTGGCAATTTTTTTTTTTTTATTAAACAAGAAATTCTAAATTTGATTTGATAAGAAGAAAAATCACAACAATAACGAAATATCTAGAAAAAAATAGTTATTTTTGTATCAAGTGCGCGAAATGTCATTTTGGTGATCGAGAACGAATAGGGTGCGAAATAGCTAGTTCGCACATTGGTATCACGGGAACGTTAAAAAATCAATACCTGGGAAAAAAAGTGTCACTTCGCAAACTGTCATGAGTGTGCAAACATCATCATTTTTTGACAGTTGTAGAAAAATAGTATATTACATACCGAGGTGGAAAGTGTTTCATTACTGTCGAGAGATTTTAGTTAGACCGAGGCACAGCCGAGGTCTAACTAAAATCTCGAGACAGTAATGAAACTTTTCACCGAGGTATGTATACTATTTTATTTACAATCATTCAAATTTTGAAATTGTTTATTTACAATCATACATGTAATGTTGACTTTACTGACTTTTAAAAAGTTCGAAAATGTCAATTTTTTGACTTTTACTTTCGGCCCACGGGTCGAAAGTTTATTTTCGACCCGTGGGCCGAAAGTAAATGAAATTTTTAAAATTTATTGTATTTTTTGACTTTTACTTTCGGCCCACGGGTCGAAAGTAAACTTTCGACCCGTGGGCTGAAAGTAAATGAAATTGTTAATTATTGTATTTTTTAGTTTTAATTCAAATGAAAATTTCAAAATTCGAATGATTGTAAATAAAATAGTATACATACCTCGGCGAAAAGTTTCATTACTGTCTCGAGATTTCAGTTCTAACTTAAATCTCTCGACAGTAATGAAACACTTTCCACCTCGGTATGTAATATACTATTTCTCAGACTATCTGGCGTCGCTGATATAATTGGTATCTTTTTTCAATCTTGAGCTATAGCAGAAGTTATGGTTCATCTGGAAATTTAGAGCTCTTCGGGTTATTCCCAGGGAAATTGTAGATAACTGGCATGATGTCTCCACAGCAGATTCAAATGATGTTGACAAATTAGGTATCAAAGAAAAGTAAATGGGATGATTCAGTAATAATCATTGCGACAAATAATGTTTAGCTCAAAGCTCAAAATTTAATAAAAATCTGGGTGCATACATATTTATTTTAAATACAGAGTAGCAAAGGCTGTGGTAGCAAGTAGTGGATCCTCAATTTACATTCACTCAATAAATGCAAATGTTTCTATTCTAGACCATTCCAATAGCCCAATAGTTTTCTATTTATTAACTCGATAATGTTTATTTTGAAAAATAAACTCCAAATTAAAATGACGTAACATGTAGTCTTTATCGATTTGTGCATCACATACATCCTAAAAAAAAACATACATTAAAATTTTTGGAAAAAATAGGTATTTTTACAAAGTGCACAACAAAAAAAACACGTATCTATTTTTATGTATGTCTATTTTGACCTATGAAAAATTTGTATTAGCATTTTCGCTTTACTACACCTATAGCCGAGGATATTGCAACAAAAAAAAGCTTAAATTTGAAATTGTAATTAGGGATTCGTGTAAAAAAATAATGAATACAATATTTGTTCAAAAAATTGGTAACTTGACTTTGAATATGAAAAAAAAAAGAACGTAGTTAGTCCAGAGCTGGGATCGTTACTTGAAAAAAGTAACGCGTTACTTTACAGTTACTTTTGCTTGAAAATAACTCGTTACTTAAAATTTACAGTTACTTTCGAATAATGATAACTTTATTTTCGTTACTTATTGGTAAGTAACGCGTTAATGTAACTTCTTTACTTTGAGAGTAACTTCTTTACTTTAGAAGTATTTCGTTACTTAAAAGTAACTCGTTACTTGAAAGTAACCCCTTAACTCAACGCGTTAGTTTGAAATAAAGCGCTACTTTTAAATAAAGCGTTACTTTTAAAGTAACGCGTTACTTCAAAAATAACTATTTACGTCGAAAATTGCGTTATTCCTTAATTTGACTAACCAACACAGCAGTCCAAACAATCAAAAAAGATCTATACTAAATACCAATATGTTTTTAGTTTGTGAGTCCGACTATGTGGAAGAGTTTTGTTGCAAAATTCAAACGGATTAAGGATTAAGCGACTGAATAGAGAACTTGGTTTTGGACAAACCTGCTTTTTGAAACGTCCCAGTGTCTGCATATAGAGTCATTAGAGCAGAGGCGGCAAGTGCCACGCTCAAAAACGATTATTTTGAGCTTTCAAAACAAATTTTTTGTACTACCCATATTTTATTTAACATACAAAGTTTTTGGATTACTTATTTTCCTTTTCCTCAATCGTCAATTATTTGTAAAGAAGATAAACAAATTGAGAGAACGCGTTACTTTCATAGTAACTAGTAACGCATTACTTCCATATAAACGCGTTATTTTCATAGTAACGCGCTACTTTCATAGTAACTCGTTACTTTAACAAAATAACGATCTGCAGTTACTTCTGGAAAGTTACGTCGTTACAGTTACTTATCAATCAATCTGAAAAGTAACGAAGTTACCAAGTAACGCGTTACTTTTAGTAACTCGTTAAAGTAAAGTAACTATTTTTTGTCGTTACTCCCAGCTCTGGTAGTTACTTTGGGCGTGTGGGAAAAATGTCTAAAACTTTAGTCAACTGGCTCGATATAATCAGAATAATTAGTTGTACCTATACCTATATTTCTATCAAAAAAATATGTATTCGACAAATCCTTTTACCATATATTATTTTAAATTTATAAAAGTGAAAAGATTTTTTCAACGTGCCAACTTTGAAAGCCAAAAATGGTAACTTATTGAATTGAAAACTTTTTTTAACTAGGTATATCAATAGACGTATAGGTAGGTATCCATGGAAGGCGGTTTTTATCCATTAAACAATAAAAATTTAGTATGAACTAGCAACATTCGAAATTTTATCATAACGACTTGAACTTCGCATAGGTAAATCGGAAAACACCTTCAACAAGACACCCTTCCACCCTTGTTTTTCAAGTCTTTGCGAGTCCACCCTTACTTGAGTGTCTATAAATCCTATAGAAAAAAAAATTGAAAATATAGAATATGTACTATGGTATATACTCGAATTGTTTTTTTGTTTTATTACGCAACAACTGAGAAAATTTTTCGGTGGATAAGTTTTATAAGGTTTTATGTAGGTACCTAAGTTATTACCCCATGCTTACATTTTGGTTATAATAGAATTCCTTTTCGTTACACTCCTGTTTTCTTTGAGAAAATTCACTTTTACAAAGATTGAACACTGCCTGTAAAACTCTTTGAGGCTTTGATAATCAGCTGGCATTATATCAAAATTGAAATCCTTCGTTTCTTTCGATGGTATTTTTTTCAACAATTTACATGCTTCGTCATTAACAAAATGCCATTCATTTAGGGAAAAGTGTTTTACTGCCATATTAGCGATATAAATTTTCCTTTGTGTTTTGAATAATCTAAAATAAAAATAACCCATATTAACTACCTACCTATGCACAGAAATAGTTTTTTTTAACAGACATGAGATTTGTATAGATTCGGCATTTACATGGTGGAAATCCATAATCCATGTAAAATTCAAGATTTGCTAAGTAGATCAAGGATAATACCTACGTATATTCACGCATTCACTTTATTATTTACCTAGGTTTTTGTCCAGTCATTTTCAGCCCAATATCCAAAAAGAAAGCGGGAACCATATGAAACAAAAGGACATTAATAAAATAATACAGCCAGTTTGTGGTTAGTGAGCCATCCGGATACCAAATTTTATTTTCAAATGGATCTTCCCACAATAGTTCTCGGCCTATGTCAATATAGGCACCAACGTAAAATTGAGGATGGTTATATTTGCTTCCTTGTTGAATTGACAAAGTGTTTGCATCTCTAAAAAAAATTTCTTAAGGTTTTAGGATCTAGATAGTTCTAGGAAAGTTCTGGTTATAATTGCCGCGATATTATCTACAACCATCAGATGGTTGAAATGCGCGATTAAAAAAACAAAACTTTCTGCATACTTTCCACGCCTATATAAATCTCTACGATATATATTTAGTTGCCAACCACAATTAATTTTTCCACTTATATTTTGTCCCAAGTCTCCCATTTTGCAATGGTGGAACTCTAGGAGTTATCAAAAGTAAATACGGCTAACGTAAAAACATTGTAGTAGTCATATCTTTAAAGAAATAGTAGGAGCTATTGTACCATGTGCTCGGAGCTCAGTATTTCTTATAATATAATGATTTTTTTTCTAACAATATTTGAGCCTATTAGTCATTTGAAATGTTCAATGATTGATTACCGTGAAATCCCTTTATTCCAAGTACCAACAATGAGAAGTTTGACTATGTTGTCCACGGGCATATACTCCGTCTCAAGCTTTGTGTCAGCATACAAAGTCCTTATTAAACCTGTTCCTCCGCCCACCAAGAGACCCATTGGGCCGTTAAAGTTATCGACCCATCCTGGAAAGGGTTCCATAATGGAGCCCACCACTGAAAGAGGCTCTGTTAGTACATACAAACAAAACAAACCCATTTAAAGTTAAAATGGTTTTATTATTGGCCAAATCATAGTTTAGAAGCTATTTTTTTAGATTGAGTCAAAATAGCATATAATAGCGTCTTACCTATTGATGGTCTACACAGTGGCGGCTCTTCCTAAGGTTTGCAAGTTTGCGCAACCCCCAAAACAAAAGTTGAAAACAATAAAACAAAAAAGAACTAATATTTTAGTACCTAGTAATTATATTTTAAAAATAAATTATACCAAAATTTGGTACCTGCATAATACGGGAGGAGCTTTCCCGCAATAAATTTATCAATATAATTTGATTACCTTCGCCAAAATGGCAATAACTGACTCGCTGTCGCGCCGGATTGCAGCTCGAATGCAACCCGATCGGCTTATACGACGTCGCATGGTGCCTATCTACGTGTGGATGCCAATTCCGTCCCATAAGCTCCAGCAGGTTGCAGGCGAATTGCAAACTTTCTTCACTTTTTTGCGCGCACCGCAGATTAGGTTTGTTTTAAAATATTTTATTTTAGTTTGTGGTGTGGTGCGTGACAAAAAAATGTTTAAAGTTTAATTGCAGAGCCATTCTGTGGTCGATCATTATCCGATAAAGCTGAAATTGGAATTGCAACCCCACATTTCTAATATAGGAGCCGCCACTGGGTCTACATATTACCGTTGGAACTTTCCCAACGAGCAAGTCATTAATGCAGTGTTCCGCCAGTTGTTTGGCATAGGTGTAGGTATTTGGGAAGTTTCCTAAGAGTTTCTGAGAGAAAACATTGAGCACTTCAAAATCACAATTATTTGCCCAAAAAAGTGCGTCCCTCCAACTTCCTTCGGTAGGATAGAGAACCTCTTCCACAATCTTAAACAATATTCTGTGTACTGTTTAACAATGATTTATTATGACATAAAAGAAGCATTTATTGATAAAATACGGTTTGTTGTTTCGACGACACGCAATGGTAGTACAGCAGCGCGAGCGGATAGTGGAGCAGATAGATCCAAACAAATATGAACCATTTAGAAATGAGACATAAAATATGGTATTCTGAGTGGTGGGGCAATACTGATTCCAAACAACACTCCGAGAAGTTGTTATACCGAAATATTGTTTACTGCTACGTCTATCTGTGGTAATAATGCATTGTAGAGGTAGCGATAGTGTTCGAAAACTCACTATCGATAGTTTCGATACCGTTAACATCCAATATCGATACTATCGATAAACAATCGATAGATTTTTTTACGTTGCAGTTTGCATATTTGTATGCTGTCAACGTCAACTGTCAGGTTAAAGATTTAAATAAAAGGTTTGTTCCAAACTGCATTAATATTACTGTAATATTATCGTCCGTAACCGCGCTAATGCGACTGCGCAATCAAAAACAGTAATATTATAATAAATAACTTAAAAACTTGTTGGAACGTTTTTTGAACTAGTAGTACTCACAACACAAGATGAAAATAACAAAATCAACATAACTTGCATACTTGACGCGTGTGAAGTTAGCACCCGATTTCCAGCAACGATTTTTCAGGAGAAGCGCATTACCGCCAGCGGTAGTTTAAATTCTAACGTTTTGGACGTCGGCAATGATAAATACATAGGTATAAAAAAAGCAAGTTTTTAAAATTTCTACAGAAAAAAAAACTTTTCATCGGTAGGAAATTTGTGTTTTCCAAGAATGTGTTTTCCAATACAAAATTGACATGACAGAAAACATTTTTTTTTTCGAAAACTAAAAGATGTGTCACTCTAATTTTTTTTTCAAAATGAAGGTCTGATGATAAGCTTCCATTAAATCCACCAGAGAAAAAATTTTCATCGGTAGAAAATTTTTTATCAGTGAAAATTCGAGAAGGTGTTTTCAAACACAAAATCAATATGAAAGGAAATATATTTTTTTTTTTCGAAAACTAAAAGATGTGTCACTCTAATTTTTTTTTCAAAATGAAGGTCTGATAATAAGCTTCCATTAAATCCACCAGAGAAAAATTTTTCATCGGTAGAAAATTTTTTATCAGTGAAAATTCGAGAAGGTGTTTTCAAACACGAAATCAATATGAAAGGAAATATATTTTTTTTTTCGAAAACTAAAAGATGTGTCACTCTAATTTTTTTTTCAAAATGAAGGTCTGATGATAAGCTTCCATTAAATCCACCAGAGAAAAATTTTTCATCGGTAGAAAATTTTTTATCAGTGAAAATTCGAGAAGGTGTTTTCAAACACGAAATCAATATGAAAAGAAATATATTTTTTTTTTCGAAAACTAAAAGATGTGTCACTCTAATTTTTTTTTCAAAATGAAGGTCTGATAATAAGCTTCCAATAAATCCACCAGAGAAAAATTTTTCATCGGTAGAAACTTTTTTATCAGTGAAAATTCGAGAAGGTGTTTTCAAACACAAAATCAATATGAAAGGAAATATATTTTTTTTTTCGAAAACTAAAAGATGTGTCACTCTAATTTTTTTTTCAAAATGAAGGTCGGATAATAAGCTTCCAATAAATCCGCCAGAGAAAAATTTTTCATCGGTAGAAAATTTTTTATCAGTGAAAATTCGAGAATGTGTTTTCAAACACGAAATCAATATGAAAGGAAATATATTTTTTTTTTCGAAAACTAAAAGATGTGTCACTCTAATTTTTTTTTCAAAATGAAGGTCGGATAATAAGCTTCCAATAAATCCGCCAGAGAAAAATTTTTCATCGGTAGAAAATTTTTTATCAGTGAAAATTCGAGAATGTGTTTTCAAACACGAAATCAATATGAAAGGAAATATATTTTTTTTTTCGAAAACTAAAAGATGTGTCACTCTAATTTTTTTTTCAAAATGAAGGTCGGATAATAAGCTTCCAATAAATCCGCCAGAGAAAAATTTTTCATCGGTAGAAAATTTTTTATCAGTGAAAATTCGAGAATGTGTTTTCAAACACGAAATCAATATGAAAGGAAATATATTTTTTTTTTCGAAAACTAAAAGATGTGTCACTCTAATTTTTTTTTCAAAATGAAGGTCGGATAATAAGCTTCCAATAAATCCGCCAGAGAAAAATTTTTCATCGGTAGAAAATTTTTTATCAGTGAAAATTCGAGAATGTGTTTTCAAACACGAAATCAATATGAAAGGAAATATATTTTTTTTTTCGAAAACTAAAAGATGTGTCACTCTAATTTTTTTTTCAAAATGAAGGTCTGATAATAAGCTTCCATTAAATCCACCAGAGAAAAATTTTTCATCGGTAGAAAATTTTTTATCAGTGAAAATTCGAGAATGTGTTTTCAAACACGAAATCAATATGAAAGGAAATATATTTTTTTTTTCGAAAACTAAAAGATGTGTCACTCTAATTTTTTTTTCAAAATGAAGGTCGGATAATAAGCTTCCAATAAATCCGCCAGAGAAAAATTTTTCATCGGTAGAAAATTTTTTATCAGTGAAAATTCGAGAATGTGTTTTCAAACACGAAATCAATATGAAAGGAAATATATTTTTTTTTTTCGAAAACTAAAAGATGTGTCACTCTAATTTTTTTTTCAAAATGAAGGTCTGATAATAAGCTTCCATTAAATCCACCAGAGAAAAATTTTTCATCGGTAGAAAATTTTTTATCAGTGAAAATTCGAGAATGTGTTTTCAAACACGAAATCAATATGAAAGGAAATATATTTTTTTTTTCGAAAACTAAAAGATGTGTCACTCTAATTTTTTTTTCAAAATGAAGGTCGGATAATAAGCTTCCAATAAATCCGCCAGAGAAAAATTTTTCATCGGTAGAAAATTTTTTATCAGTGAAAATTCGAGAATGTGTTTTCAAACACGAAATCAATATGAAAGGAAATATATTTTTTTTTTCGAAAACTAAAAGATGTGTCACTCTAATTTTTTTTTCAAAATGAAGGTCGGATAATAGGCTTCCAATAAATCCGCCAGAGAAAAATTTTTCATCGGTAGAAAATTTTTTATCAGTGAAAATTCGAGAATGTGTTTTCAAACACGAAATCAATATGAAAGGAAATATATTTTTTTTTTTCGAAAACTAAAAGATGTGTCACTCTAATTTTTTTTTCAAAATGAAGGTCTGATAATAAGCTTCCATTAAATCCACCAGAGAAAAATTTTTCATCGGTAGAAAATTTTTTATCAGTGAAAATTCGAGAATGTGTTTTCAAACACGAAATCAATATGAAAGGAAATATATTTTTTTTTTTCGAAAACTAAAAGATGTGTCACTCTAATTTTTTTTTCAAAATGAAGGTCGGATAATAAGCTTCCAATAAATCCGCCAGAGAAAAATTTTTCATCGGTAGAAAATTTTTTATCAGTGAAAATTCGAGAATGTGTTTTCAAACACGAAATCAATATGAAAGGAAATATATTTTTTTTTTCGAAAACTAAAAGATGTGTCACTCTAATTTTTTTTTCAAAATGAAGGTCGGATAATAGGCTTCCAATAAATCCGCCAGAGAAAAATTTTTCATCGGTAGAAAATTTTTTATCAGTGAAAATTCGAGAATGTGTTTTCAAACACGAAATCAATATGAAAGGAAATATATTTTTTTTTTTCGAAAACTAAAAGATGTGTCACTCTAATTTTTTTTTTCAAAATGAAGGTCTGATAATAAGCTTCCATTAAATCCACCAGAGAAAAATTTTTCATCGGTAGAAAATTTTTTATCAGTGAAAATTCGAGAATGTGTTTTCAAACACGAAATCAATATGAAAGGAAATATATTTTTTTTTTCGAAAACTAAAAGATGTGTCACTCTAATTTTTTTTTCAAAATGAAGGTCGGATAATAAGCTTCCAATAAATCTGCCAGAGAAAAATTTTTCATCGGTAGAAAATTTTTTATCAGTGAAAATTCGAGAATGTGTTTTCAAACACGAAATCAATATGAAAGGAAATATATTTTTTTTTTTCGAAAACTAAAAGATGTGTCACTCTAATTTTTTTTTCAAAATGAAGGT